ATAATATCTATGGCTTGGTGCCTGTGGCTCAAGCGGCTAAGGCGCCAGCCACATACACCTAAGGTGGGGGGTTCAAATCCAGCCCAGGCCCGCCAAAACAACAATGACAGCTGCAACCAAAAATAGCTGGGTGTTGTGGCAGGCACCTGTGGTCCTAGCTACTTGGGAGGTGGAGGCAGAAGACTCGCTTGAGCCCAGGAGTTGGAGGTTGCTATGAGCTGTGATGCCACAGCACTCTACTCAGGGGGATAAATAAATAAATAAATAAATAAAATAGAAACACAGATCTAAGTATGTCCAAGGCTGCTAAAAACCCTGCACGGGCTCCCAGGGCTTTTGGCATGAAGATCAAGCTCTTTGGCTTCACACATGAAGCTGCCCTTCACCACTTTCCCAAGGTCAGCTCCTATGGCAAACTCAGAAAAGTTCTTCTGGACTTAACTAATTTGCCTCTCACTCTCTCTCAATGTACATAAATTTTTTCAAAGCAGAGGCTATGCCTGAGTCAACTTTGTATTCATAGTGCCTAGCATATAATAGTTTCTAAATAGCTGGTTTTAAAAAAGTAAATAAACCGATCAGTATTTTCTAAAGACGTGCAAGTCATACTTACATATTATACATTAATGTGATGAGAACAAAAGCTTACCATGATTTTGCTGTTTTCTTCTTTATCCAAATATTGGTCACTGAACATGTGACATGAGCCAAGCACCGCCAGCTTCCCGCCTTGACTCTATTGATAGCAAACCAGTGTTAGATACTCAGATCCCAAAATGCATTGTATGTATTTTAGTTCCCAAACATTTATCATCAAAATCATGGTAGCAGGCTGGGTGCAGTGCCTCAGCCTATAATCCTAGCACTCTGGGAGGCCGAGGCAGGTGGATTGCATGAGCTCAGGAGGTTGAGACCAGTCTGAGCAAGAGTGAGACCCTGTCTCTACTAAAAATAAAAAACTGAGGCAAGAGGATCACTTAAGCCCAAGAGTTTGAGGTTGCTGTCAGCTATGATGTCATAGCACTTTACCCAGGGCAACAAAGTGAGACTCTGTTTCAAAAAAAATCACATTAGCAACTGTCTTTTTTTTTTTGAGACAGAGCCTCAGGCTGTCACCCTGGGTAGAGTGCTATGTCATCACAGCTCACAGCAACCTCCACTCCTGGGCTCCTGGGCTCAAGTGAGTCTCCTGCCTCGACCTCCCAAGTAGCTGGGACCACAGGCACCCACCACAACACCCAGCCATTTTGGTTGCAGCAGTCATTGTTGTTTGGCAGGCCCAGGCTGGATTCGAACCCTCCACATTAGGTGTATGTGGCTGGCGCCTTAGCCACTTGAGCCACAGGTGCCGAGCCAGCAACTGTCTTCTACACCAGTAAGTACCAATCACATCAGGATTTTTTTTTTTTTTTGAGACAGAATCTTACTATGTCACCCTTGGTAGAGTGCCATGACGTCACAGCTCACAGCAACCTCAAACTCTTGGGCTTAAGCAATTCTCTTACCTCCCAAACAGCTGGGACTACAGGTGCCTGCCACAACACCCAGCTATTTTTAACTGTAGTTGTCATTGCTGTTTAGCTGGCCTGGGCTGGGTTCAAACCTGTCAGCCTTGTTGTATGTGGCTGGCACCGTAACCACTGTGCAATGGGCGCCGAGCCCACATCAGGATTTTAACAGTACATTCTAGGTATACCAACTATAATAACTACTATACTTTAACCTGTTTCTCATTTTAGACGCTTCTATATTTTTCTATTGGACTTTAACAAAAAAATAATGTAAATTTGTTTTAGAGTATTTTCCCAATGACAGTTATCTTATAAATGAATATTATAATTTTTTTCTTTTGAGATATGGTCTCATTCTGTCACGCAGACTGGAGTATGGTAGCACAATCACAGCTTACTATAGCCTCAAACTTCTGAGCTCAAGTACTCTTCCTGCCTTAGCCTCCCAAGTAACTAGGACTACAAAGCATATGCCATTGTGCCAGGGTGACTTTTTAAAGTTTGTAGAGACAGGGTCTTACTATGTTGCCCAGGTTGGTTTTTCATTCCTGGCCTCAAGTGATCCTCCTGACTCAGCCTCCCAAAGTGCTGGGATCACAGGTTTTAGCCACCACACACTCAGCTAAAGATCATAATTTTACACGAAAAAGAACACAAACCCAAAGATGATCATATAGTTAAAGACACTTACGAGTACCAAGAAAAAGTGTTTAAGCCCAGTGACAGTATGGTTCATACCTGTAATCCTAGGTATATGTTACATTAGATATAATTCTTTCCCTAGTGCTATTATAACTGTGCCTGTTTCCTGTATGTGATATAGCCTAAGCCAGAGACATCACAGGATATAAATATACAAATTCTACAAATTAAAAAAAACAGGCAGGCCAGGCACAGCGGCTCACACCTATAATCCCAGCACTTGGGAGGTTGAGGTAGGTGGATTGCCTGAGCTCACAAGTACGAGACCAGCCTGAGCCAGAGTGAGACCCTGTCTCTAAAAAAATAGCTGGTGTCGTGGTGGGCACCTGTAGCTCCAGCTACTTGGGAGGCAAGAGAATCACTTAAGCCCAGGGGTTTGAGGTTGCTGTGAGCTATGATACCACATACTCTACTAAGAGTGACAAAGTGAGACTGTCTCAAACGAAAAAAAAAAACAACACTGGCAAAACAAACTGTCAGGCCTGTACCACATTAAAAGAAAATGCTTCATAGGAAAAGCAGCAATACTACATACATGTTACTATACCATGACCACTAAAAATAGAGAACAATAAGTCAACCTGGTGGAAATCTAAAGAAAGAAAAGGGAAGTGAGAAAGAGAATGTGCTGTGATTTGAATTCACCTACATGAACAAATATAGGAAAGGAAGTTAAAGGGCTTTCTGTTTTCCTATTACAATTCAAAGTCAACTTATATTTTCTTTTCTTTAATTTTTTTTGAGACAGAGCCTCAAGCTGTCCCCCTGGGTAGAGTGCGGTGACATCACAGCTCATAGCAACCTCCAACTCCTGGGCTCAAGTGAGTCTCCTGCCTTAGCCTCCCTGAGTAGCTGGGACCACTGGTGCCCCCTACAACGCCCAGCTTTTTTTTGGTTGCAGCCATCATTGTTGTTTTGGCAGGCCCGGGCTAGATTCGAACCCGCCACCTTAGGTGTATGTGGCTGGTGCCTTAGCCACTTGAGCCACAGGCACCGAGCCTAATATTATTTTCTGTATCCTATCTTGTTTATTTCAAATAATTATAAATCTCCCTTTAATCCTTTTATTCTGATAGATTCTACAATTGTCTTCAGCTTTCTTTTCCAGCTATTTGTCTGTAATTTGTTTTAGTTAAGAATACAGACTGATTTTGGAACAAACCATAGTCTTAATGCAGCCATGGTTTGAATTTGTTATGTTGGACCATTCATGTAAATACAATATGCTTTTTGGATGTAAATTTTAGAAATGTGCAGTATGGATGTAGGATATCAATAATAAAACATTAATCCCAGTCTAAAAAAAGAAAATACAGACTGATTTTTTTCCTTCAATATTAATAAGTCTATTTCAGTAAACCTAGGACTAGAAAGGATCATGTTAAGCTCAAAGAAGGCAATGGCCCTAGGCAAGGAGGCAGAACCTTTGAGAGCTTGCCTGGCCCTGCTCTTGGTTTCCAGGAGTATAGAGAGGAGCCCCCTCTCTGGTATCACTGCTTCATCTCACAAACTTAAGGGTGACGGCAACAAACCCTCTCAAAGATTCAAAGATTGTATTCATTAGACAGGAACAAAATCTCATTAGGAGAAAAGATACTTTTAATGGCTAGGAAGTGGGCAAATTAATCTCATAAGTTCTAGAAAAGTGAGCACAGAATTCTGCATCCAATGGATGCTCCATAAAAATCCACTGACTTAGCAAGGTAAAATCTCTGTACACACTTAAGAAGTCTGGCTGGGTACAGTGGCTCATGCCTATAATCCTACCACTCTGGGAGGCTGAAGCAAGTGGATGAGCTCTTGAGTTTGAGACCAGCCTAAGCCAGAGTGAGACCCTGTCTCTAAAAACAGCTGAGCATTGTGGCAGACGCCTGTAGTGCCAGCTACTCAGGAGGCTGAGGCAAGGGGATCACTTGAGCCCAGAAGTTGGAGGCTGCTGAGAGCTATAATGCCATGGCACTCTACCAAGGGCAACAAAGTAAGACTCTCTCTCTTTTTTTTTTTTTTGAGACAGGAGACTCAAACTGTCCCCCTGGGTAAAGTGCCGTGGCTTCACAGCTCACAGCAACCTCCAACTCCTGGGCTCAAACGAGTCTCCTGACTCAGCCTCCCAAGTAGCTGGGACCACAGGTGCCCACCACAATGCCCGGCTATTTTTTGGTTGCAGCCGTCATTGTTGTTTGGTGGGCCCGGGCTG